CTGATACACCACTGTCCCAAATACGTCGCACACACCCAAATTTAATTTTTCTTCATTGTCATCGTTGGTTTGATGTTTTGGCTCATCCTTTGTAAAATCTGCTCCATTTCAGTTTTTGTACTTATACTTATACGTTGTTCTTATAGAGATACCGTGATTGAAATGATGAATTAATTGCCGAGATAAACGACGCAAAGAACTACCAGTATCAAACACACATTTAATTAAATATTTCAAAAAGTAATTACAGTTCAAGGGTTCTCCATTCGTTGTTAGAAAGAGAGCGGTTACTGTAGTTGGCGATTAAGATGCTTGTCTTCTATTCCCATACAAATCCTTTCAGAGATCGTTTTTCTCAACATTAAAAAAGCATCGTTATCCAATTGGCAAAATATAGGTTGCGCCTAGGGATACTTGCTGTTCTGTGCAAGTAATTGGAATGCAAATGAAATTATGTTAATGAGCAACACACAGTCAATAATAAACATAAACAAATTATTTACATATCAAATGTATACATACAATACGTACTTTCCACTCAAATATTGATTTAGTCCATGCGCTTTTGAAAACACATTTTAATCAATTTCAAAACGATTAAAGAAGCTGCTCTGTCTGGTAGAAGTTGTGGAGTGGTAAACGGAAAGACTAGGGCTTTGTGGAATGAATGTACAGTGACAATGACACCGATATTGTTGATGTCACCGTTGTTTTTTTGCAGCACTTCCCCTAGGTCGTCCATTAGATTTCACCGATTTTGGTAGCTTTTTACGGAGCGTCGACCATTGAGACTCTCGTCTTTGTCGTGAATAAACTGGTTTTGATAAATTTTGAAGGTGTTCTGGAAAGGTAATTAAAAAAATAATTGGCTTCTAACGTTAATTCTACAACTTCTACAAATCATATTATTATAGGTAACGAAGTTTGCCAAGTACTTGAAATAACCGTAGTTACCAGGCAGTACACCCCCAAAATGTGAGTTGATTTGTGTGTGTGTGTGTGTTGTTGTTTTTTTTTTGTTCGTACTGCGGGTCCCAGTTGATCAGCTATAGCTGGATGGACCACTCTCACAAAATATCGCTGAAATCAAATCAATATTGAATAAGCCTAATAGGGCCTAATAGTGATTTCCAAATTGTACTGTGCCTATGCAAATTGTTTTTGGCTTTATCTTACTTGCAAGGTCCGGGCAGTGTCGTTCGCCATTCTCCATCATCAAGGTATATTGCGGGGGTTGATGTTCGATCGCTTCTTCTACATTTACAAGAGAAAACAGGTTTATAAGCAACATTATAGATGGCATATTGAACGTATTAATTCAGAACTAAAAGTAACCCTTTAACAGATCTGTAATTTTATTGTAAATAAATATTTACTGGTTCCTTTCAATTCATTCTTTCTAGTTTCAAAGTACACAATTTTACAAACTGATTTGGCCTAATACAAATAACTTTAATGTAAAATATCAAACTCAAATAGTACATAGCATGACGCTTTCAATGTACTTTACTGTGGGGGATCGAAATTTGTGTGGTGATTCTCAGAAATTTTCCAGTGCGTCAATAAGTAAAGTCTGACAATCGCAATCTTCGGTTGGATCTACAAGTTTTTGTTGATTGTAATACAAAGTGGATAACTAGCTATCTGATGAAGATGCTTACTTGTGCCGCAATTGAGTGGCATGGGTGGATAGGCCTGCAAGTCTCAGGGGCATGTAGTGGAAGTTTCGTGAAATCTTAACAGGCATGCGTGGGATTGAACATCAAGGACCATTAGCTATTGCATGTAAACTGTGTCCATGGATATTTTTGTAAGTTTAATTCTATACAGGGCGCCAACAGGCGCGCAATATATCTTTTTTGATTGGCTAATCAATTAGGCTCCATATCGTAACCATCTTCTAAGCCATTATCCACGGAATCATAACAATAGAATATCCCAAGCGATGATTTTGACGATTGATGAAGTCAATAAACATTTAATATGAGTTTTAGCATTTACGTCAAAACATCTGCCGAAGTAAAGGAAATTTTGCTTCATTTCCTCTTAAGATGACTCCACGCATCATCACATTTCACTATCAACTGCGGGTGCCATGCCAAATATGTGTGATTACACAGTCTGTTGTATCAACTTGTCTTGAATTGATAATTAAAATGCTCACTCCGCTGTGTTATCAAGAAGCGCAAATCGGAAATGCACGCACATTCAGTTCAAACATGATACAGATGCAACAGATATAAATAACCTTGTGCGTTACCTATTATTGTCAACCCGGTCATATGAACCCTTGTTCACCCCCAAAGAGTGGGTGTACAAAACTTAGTGTAATAAATGTTTTTGTCGTGTATCATTTTAATCAATTATTTAGGCTAAATAAGTAGTAGTTTACTAGTAGTTTATCATATTCAGTTTATGCTGCCAAACTCTTGAATAATCTTCCTCCTGATTTTAAGAACATTTCTAATGTTAATATTTTCAAAAGATCAATTAAAACCCATCTTTTTGCCTAATTCACCCCTGTTTCTGTCTGTGTCTTTCGTTGTCTTTTTATGTTGTTGTTTATCCAAAGACTGTATTCTGTGTGGTATGAGATAGTTTTTTTTTTTCTGGAACTGATGTGGATCAGTTGCTCTTGATGATTTGAAACTTGGAGGACACTTGGCTTGCGCTTTGCAACCGAAACAAAAGGCGCATTATAAATGCCCAGTAACAGTAACAGTATGGTAGCAGTAACAATCGGCGGAATAATTATAAAATGCTTATAACGTAAGTTATATATATGATAACGTAGCCTACCCACAACCCAACTAGAATATAAACGGAAGAAAGGACAGGCGCACTTCTTTGTAAACTATATTAGAGATTGTAATCGGACCCCAACTTACCCCCGTAAATAACAGTTATAAAACTCATGATCCGTTACAAAATGTAATACTTCTCACAAGCTGTCTCTTATACACATCTAGAAATATTAGGACCATTATTATTAATAAGTCTGTATGCCATTATGCT